GATTATTCTTACGACTACGACTCTGCGACTCGCATTGTAGACAGAACCGAGAATCATTGTAGCGGAGGCTTTATTCTTACGACTACGACTCTGCGACTCGCATTGTAGACAGAACCGAGAATCATTGTAGCGGAGGCTTAATAGTACCCTACGACTTTACGACTTCTATGTAGACGAGGCTAAAGCCTCGTCCACATAGAATTTATCTAAAGATGCTAAATGGAACATTTCATTGGCTACGGAGTATCTAAAGATGATCTTAAAACAGTCTTGAATATAAAATCTGACTACGAATACGGGTCTATGATTGCACCGCGACGGCGCACCGGTGTTTTTAGGGAGTTGATTTTGTAACTGGAATTAGTCACTAGACGAGAAGGCGCGCGGAAAAGTAGCGCGCGCACGAGAGAGTCGCGTCTACGTGCCGCATCGGTGAATCGCAGTTCGTGGTTGCGTAGTGACGTGTCTCTTCCGTCGTGTCAAAAAGTTTGAAGAATTTCGAGAGGGTGATGTTTAATTAGTATTGCGTGGTATTGTGTCACGCGCTGAGAAATTCGCCAAGATGCTGACGAAGTTTGAGACCAAGTCCGCGCGAGTGAAGGGCTTGTCCTTTCACCCGAAACGTCCCTGGGTGCTCGCGAGGTAAACTGACAGACGTCCTTAAACTAATTGCTTGACCATTTGCTTGGCATTTTACTAATAACACATTTGTCAGCTTGCACATACGAGAGCAAAATGTCTCGTAAACCACGTTGGAGAATTATTAGTTGATTATTATCGCGTGTTTGTAATCGTATGTTAACATAACCTATTGTTTAACGCACAGTGTTTTCAATCATTTGAATACGGGCACTAAAGCCCGGTTTCACCAACGTCGTTTAATTTTAATCTTAGCTTGATTCGTTCTTTGTCTCTTTCCAACTGTTACTTTAGATAGAGACAAACATGAATTAAACTAAGATTAAAGTTAAGCGACGTTTGGTGAAACTGGGCCTAAGCGTATAAAAAAAGGGATTACTTTGTCCATTATTTTCGTCGTACTAAGAAAATTGGTCCACAACTTATGTAATAAATATCAAAAGTGTCAACAGATTTATTTTGATAATTTAAACAGTATTTATAATTGCAGATTTGGTGGCGTTTTATTAGTAAAACCTACTGTTGTAAATGCAATACAAAAAAAATAGGGTATGGCGTGTGGATTTAGATTTCAATTGAGACCCTTCGCCGTTGCAGTACTCGATTTCTCTGTCAAGGGACTCGTTTCTGTACTCGCAAGCTCAGTGCTGCTCGCTTCGCTGCCCGCGGTCCGTTGAGTGGAACTTTGAGTTGCCATCGCAGTCGCGCTGGTCGGAGGTTCCGCCTTGACTTTCTCAGACGTGGTCGTTGACTCGAGTTTGCTCGCAGAAGTAGGCAGACCCGACGACGTTTCTTCCTCTCCGTTTGTCGTCGATTCTGGATTGAATCTTGACGCTATCGTATTGGACTCTGCCGAGTTAGACGCAGAGTTGGTGACATTTGTTTGCGAGCTAACAACGTGCGGCTCTGCGGGTGGTTTCATAGTCTCAGCAGCTGTCGACGTCGACTCGGAATTGCTGCCGGGAATGATCGGCGATACTCGATAAAACAGCGACACGGGATTGTAGATGTCGAAGTTGTGCAAGGGCAGTTCTAGGCGAGCGTAGGGATTGTAAGGATAGTACTGGCTCGGCATCACGTTCGGCGATATCTGATATCTCGGAAATAGCGGAAGGTTCAAGAAATTTTCTCGAAGCGCGGGATAGGACACGTCCACGAGAGAAACCCGTTGAAAGCTCGGCTGTTGTTCGATAAGATTGTTGTCCGCTTGGGAATTTGCAGATTTCTTCCCTTCACCCGGAACTTTAGTGTTCGCGTCGAGATTCTGTTTCTCGGTACTTTCGGATTTAGACTGTTCCGAGGACATCATGTTCTCTTGGCTTTTATCCGTTTGCGAATATTCCTCTGGCATCTTCCTCGAGTCCATTTCGTCCTTCAGTCTGTTCTTGGAGTCGGCGCCAGTTGTAAAGACAACGTTACTTTCGCCGCCATTGAAGTCCTGAGTTGTGTAGGAATATCCGCTGAAAGCGGGATTGGATTCGGACGTGTATATCAACTGTGGCGTGATAGAGAACGGCAGCTGAACGCCCTGATACGGAACGGAGTACGTTTTCACCGATGTTGTACTTAGCAAGAGCTGAAAAAAATAAGACTCATCTCACTTCAACGTGAACTCTATTCGTACGAAGTCACGCGCGTAAGAGGCGAGTTTCAAATTTAGATTCGAGATTGAAATTATTGAAACAGTCGGGACGACGGATTTTTCTTTCGAGCGCAAACGTGTACTTACAATAGCGGCGGTAAAAAACCGAAAAGGCGCCATTGCCGAAGTTTGACAAAGAGATGTGAACATAATGAAATTAAGAGGTGAACTACCAAGACATGTAATGATGTGTTCTCTATATACGCGGTGTCCAGCGTCGCTTAACGTCCCCACCACACTCTCTACACCTCTGCCTCTGATGACCTGGTTCTGCAAAAATGTCCCGGGGGGATATGCGGGGCCTGTCCCTCAATCGTCGTCGGCTTCGTCGAAATGTTATTATGTAGCGCGCGTAGATCGAGTTTCAGATAATTTGCGATCGGCTTCGTCGTAAATGTTATTATGTAGTGCGTGCAGATCAGGTTTCAGATTTTTCTCATATTATCTGGAGAGATACGCCCTGTGTGCCTTTATTTGCCCAGGACGTGTGTAATTTAAAAGGAATATAAATTATGAATGTCGATGCAGTCTTGAGGCAGATTTATCAGTATGCTGCGATTATATATAAATATCGAGAGACACGGTGGTGTCTCTCATCCACTTCCTTATAATAATAATAATGGGCAGGATAGAGAATTCTAAAATGTTTCATAATTAACAATGGAAAAATTATATCGAATTTTAATCGCCAGATATGGTCAACAAAATCACCAATATTGTTAATTACTACTGGCAACCTTAAGAATATTCTAGTTGATTATACACCATTGACCTAAAAAACATGGTGTTTATTCTACAGGGGGAAGGGGATCAAGGGGAAGAAGGAAACAGTAAATTTAAAAATCGCGTATCGACAGTTCGGTGTACGATCGACAACCATATCGACGCACAGTTCTGAAAAGTCGAAATAGACGCGTGAACAACATCTTAAGTAATATATACATGTTATTGCGAATAATATTACCACAGCCCCGGTGGTCGAGCTGGCTAAGACGCCCGTCACGGATTGTAGGAAGGTTCGAATCCCGGCTGGGGTAATATTTTTTCGCAATAAGAATTTTAATCGCCAGATATGGTCAACAAAATCACCAATATTGGAAAAATTATACTTGATTTACTTAATGATATTTGTAGTAGATGAACGTCTCGCTCTTAATATGAGATAGCGGGGTTTCTGTTAAATTAACAAGCGTCATGTATTGGTGGAGCTGTGACATTTTGATGTTATTTTTGGCATCTTTTGCGTTTTGTTTTTCTGGATTTTGCATTATTTCGATAATGCCGTGATCAGAGGTGGGCAGGGCTTCAATAAGACGACTTAGGCCCGGTTTCACCGACGTTGTTTAACTTTAAGCGTAGCTCAACTCGTTCTTTGTGTCTTTCCAACTGTTACTTTAGAAAGAGACAGACGTGAATTAAACAAGATTAAAGTTAAACGACATTTGGTGAAACCAGGTCTTAGGCGCCCGGTTTCACCAAACATCGCTTAACTTTAATCTTAGTTTAATTCATGTTTGTCTCTTTTTAAAGTAACAGTTGGAGAGAGACAAGAAACGAATTAAACTAAGCTTAAAGTTAAACAACGTTGAAACTGGACCTTAGGCCCGGTTGCACCGACGTCGCTTAACTTTAAACTTAGTTTGATTCGTTCTTCACCTCCTTCCAGCTGTTACTTTAAAAAGAGGCAAAGAACGAATTAAGCTAAGCTTAAAGCTAAACAACGTTTGTGAAACCGGGCCCTAATGTTTTGATAGAACAATTTACGACATTTATTAAGGCTAAGTTATGTTAAAAATGTAACAGAAAACGTGATATATTAAAATAGCATGGAACAAATTATTGGAATTACATATTATTTTCGGACCATAAAAACATTAACATGTCTAAAAAAAGTAAACAAGAACTAATCTCAGGTATAAATCTCTTTAGTTTAGGCTACAGCATTGACGTTAGAAATGTTTGCTAAGGAAAATTGCTATTCTTGACGCTATTTTGCGTTACTTTGCGTTTTCAAAACGTGTTAAAACGAAGTTGGAGACTCCAAAATGTAAAGAAATGACATTAAAAACGTTCCTGGGGCATTTTGCGAAATTTTGCGTACAAAGACAACATCAAAATGTCACACCTCTATCTATTGGTTCCACCGTGAATTTATTGCTCTTGAAGTGGAGTCTGTTTAGTGGAAACTTCATTGTAAAAAAAAAGAGATTTGTCATTGAATTCGGACGTTGATAAACCTGGTATCTCACATTAGAAGCCTATCTCATTATGGGGAACTTTCCTGTAATAACAGCCTCGTTGTTTATATGAATTATGTTTTAAATTAACGGGCGTAACCAGAATATAATGATATATTACGCTTAAATGCTGACCCAATGATAAATTTGGCAATCAGTTTTAATCTCTTTGTATGAGCGAATGAGTTGTCACAGCAGGTGTTTAATATTCATGCGTGTATTAAAAGGATTATCGGTAGGTGGTTGAATCGAAGGACTCGCGAACGATGGTGCGTTCCTTTGGCATTCAAATTCAAGTGAATGTACCACGCCTATCTCTCAAGATAATACGAACGAGATACAAGGTGGCTAAATGCAGAATTGCGGAGATCCATTTTTCACCGATGTCCCAATTGCTGACATCTGCAATCGATAATCGCAGGAAGCGCCTGAATCCGTTTGAAAATAATGGAAGCTGTGCGCTAATCTCGAGACACACGATAATCTTGATCCTCAGACTCGCATTGTTTTCGTTGCATTATTGTGACACCCAGTATGGAGGCGTAGGCCCGCCCGAAATCCAGTTTCCGAATGACCTCTATATTTATACTTCATTTTGTAATCGCACGCCCAGACGAAATACTTCGTGCGAACCACCGCTTTGCGCAATCCCGGGCATTCACTAAGGTTCCTCTTATGGCTTACGGCAATTGAAAAGGAGAATAACAACACGCATGGTGTGCGAACTAATAAGCAGCTTCGCAAATGACATATTTATAGAACAAAGTGCATTCGCGCAGAAGACTGCGAGAATTATGTAACGCTGAAAGTATGAGAAGTTGCATTTAAAATTTAAACTGCAGATTGTAAAAATTTATTAAAAAGTATATGTTTAACGGACTTTCTATCTCATATTTAATTACACGCAGTAGCCATCGTGTTCTGTGCAAAAGAACTGAGTTAAATTAACAATTGAATAAAAATGTCGCATCGCATCTAAATCTTGTGCGTTCGTAAATGAATTGCAGTTTACACAATGGCGTTATCCAGCTGTGGGATTACCGTATGTGCGCCCTGCTCGACAAATTCGACGAGCACGACGGGCCCGTTCGAGGCATATGCTTCCACAATCAGCAGCCGCTGTTTGTCTCCGGCGGCGACGACTACAAGATCAAAGTTTGGAACTACAAGCAACGGAGATGCATCTTCACCCTGCTGGGTCACCTGGATTACATAAGGACCACGATGTTCCATCAGGAATATCCCTGGATCCTCAGTGCCTCGGACGATCAGACTATTCGTATCTGGAACTGGCAGAGCCGCACCTGCATCTGCGTGCTGACCGGGCACAATCATTACGTGATGTGTGCCCAGTTTCATCCCACGGAGGACATCATCGTGTCGGCCTCGTTGGACCAAACGGTCCGCGTTTGGGACATTTCCGGTTCGTGCAGGGATCTCGCGTAACTCCGAAAATTAAAGTTATAAATCGAAATGAAGAATTGGACCCGAGGCTCTTCTCAAATTTTATTTCACGAAAAACCAGTAAACTTATATACGCAGTAGATTCTTTAGTATTTATATTTTTGTCATTGCCGCAGTTAATCGTAGAATCCAAGAGAAAATTTCGTAACTACGGGACTACTGACAGAGACGCGTGTACCGCGGTAACCGAGCGAATGCAATTGCAGGATTGCGCAAGAAGAACGTGGCGCCGGGCCCGGGAGGTCTCGAGGATCACCTGAAGAATCCGGGGGCGACCGATTTATTCGGCCAGGCCGATGCGGTAGTCAAGTATGTCCTGGAAGGTCACGACAGAGGCGTAAACTGGGCATGCTTTCACGGGACGTTACCTCTCATTGTCTCCGGAGCTGACGACCGGCAGATAAAAATGTGGCGTATGAACGACGCCAAGGCTTGGGAAGTGGACACGTGTCGCGGCCATTACAACAACGTGTCCTGCGTGCTGTTTCATCCGCGGCAGGACCTCATTCTCTCCAATTCGGAGGACAAGAGCATCAGAGTCTGGGACATGACGAAGCGCACGTGCCTGCACACGTTCAGGCGGGAACACGAGAGATTCTGGGTGCTCGCCGCGCATCCGACGCTCAATCTCTTCGCTGCCGGCCACGATTCCGGAATGATCATTTTCAAACTCGAGCGAGAACGCCCCGCGTACGCGGTTTACGGGAACGTTCTGTATTACGTGAAGGACCGTTTCCTGCGGAAGCTGGACTTCAGCACGTCGAAGGACACGTCGGTGATGCAGATACGCGGCGGAGGGAAAACACCGCCCTACAGCATGTCGTACAATCAGGCGGAGAATAGCGTTTTAATATGCACAAGATCGCCCTCGAATATCGAGAACAGTACTTACGATTTGTACATGATACCGCGCGAGGGAGACTCGAGCACGGACGCCGATACGAAACGAGCATCCGGTGTTACTGCCATTTGGGTCGCGAGAAATCGATTCGCTGTACTGGATCGAGCATACTCTGTAAGTTAGCATATTTTGTACATAGTTCCATAAACTTCAGAAAGTTTAAAATTCAACAATTTTACTTGAAATGATTAATCGAGATTTTATTTGCATATTCCTTGCGATATTTTTGGAAACAATTCGTTATTTTATATCTCTACTATATTGTTTTACCACACGTGTAGTTTAACAGCGGGTATTTCCCTTTTCAGTTGGTTATTAAGAACCTGAAGAACGAGGTGACGAAAAAAGTGCAAATTCCAAATTGCGACGAGATATTTTACGCCGGCACTGGCATGTTGCTTCTGCGCGATCCGGAACAGGTAACGCTGTTCGACGTACAGCAGAAGAGAACTTTGGCAGAGGAGAAAATTGCCAAGTGCAGATACGTCGTGTGGTCCAGCGACATGTCCCACGTCGCACTGCTGGCCAAGCACACCGTCAATATTTGCAATCGTCGGCTGGACTCTCTCTGTTGCATACACGAAAACACCAGAGTGAAGTCCGGCGCCTGGGACGATTCCGGCGTGTTCATTTACACGACCAGCAATCACATTAAATACGCGATCAGCAACGGCGATTACGGCATCATTCGCACGCTAGATTTACCGATATACGTGACGAGAGTGAAAGGTAATCAAGTTTACTGCCTGGACCGAGAGTGCAAGCCGAGGATCCTCCGAATTGATCCGACGGAGTACAAATTCAAGCTCGCGCTGATCAACAGGAAATACGAGGAAGTTTTGCACATGGTTCGCAACGCGAATCTCGTTGGCCAATCGATTATAGCGTACCTGCAGCAGAAGGGATATCCAGAAGTGGCGCTTCACTTCGTGAAAGACGAAAAGACCAGATTCGGCCTCGCGCTCGAATGTGGAAATATCGAAGTCGCGCTGGAGGCGGCGAGGTTGCTCGATCAGAAGTCGTGCTGGGAGAGCTTGGCGCAAACCGCTTTGCTGCAAGGCAATCACCAGGTCGTGGAGATGTGCTATCAGAGGACCAAGAACTTCGAGAAGCTGGCTTTCCTCTATCTGATAACCGGCAACCTAGAGAAGCTACGTAAAATGATAAAAATCGCGGAGATTCGGAAAGATGTGTCCGGGCAGTATCAAGGAAGCTTGCTTCTTGGAGACATCTACGAACGGGCTAAGATTTTGCGGGTACGTTATCTCTATTGATCGGCGTATATTTTATACGTGTGGAGAACGAAAGTCTTCGTTGGCTCTGACTATTGGTTACAATTATAATAGATAAACATTTCTGTTCGTAGAGCTCTGGACAAGCATCGTTGGCGTACGTTACTGAAAAGATTCACGGGATATCGAACGAAGACGACGACGGCGAGTACGAGTCGATGAGCGAGGAACTATCTGCGTTGGAAAAAGGCGCCGCGTATCTCCGTCCGCCCGTACCTATTCAGCAAGCCGAGAACAACTGGCCGCTGCTGACCGTATCGAAAGGCTTCTTCGAAGGCGCGATGATGTCTCGCAGCAGGACTCAAGTGGCCGCCGCTCTCGCCCTGGAAGACAACGGCGAAGCGACGCCCGAGGGATGGGGCAATGACGAGGAGCTCGGCATAGACGACGAGGAAGGCGTGGACGCGGAAATCGCGCCGGAAGGCGAAGAGAATCCCGGATGGGACGTCGAGGACGTCGAACTTCCGCCGGAACTCGAAGCCGCGGCGACCTCCGACGAAGGCAACAACTACGAGTGTCTACCTACTAAAGGAGTTTCGCCGCCGCAGCATTGGGTCAATAATTCTAAATTGGTGGTCGACCATATATTGGCTGGGTCGTTCGAGTCCGCTTTTAGACTGTTGAATAATCAGGTGGGAGTGGTGGAGTTCGGGCCGTATGAATCTCTGTTTTTAAATACATACGCCCGCTCCAGGACGTCCCACGCGTGTCTACCTAACATACCGTCGTTATATGGATATCCCCAAAGAAATTGGAAGGATTCTAGTTGGAAGGATGCCGCGTCGAAGACGGGTTTACCCGCGGTGGGGTTGCACCTTGCCGAGCTAGTTCAGCGTCTTCAAGTGTGCTATCAATTGACGACCAATGGCAAGTTTGCCAAGGCGGTAGAGAAGCTGCAGAGTATATTGCTGAGTGTGCCGTTACTCGTTGTCGACACCAAGCAAGACATCGCGGAGGCTCAGCAGCTGATTCAGATTTGTCGCGAGTATATCCTGGGTCTGAAGATGGAGACCGAGCGTAAAAGTTTGCCGAGGGCCACGTTAGCGGAGCAGAAGAGGATTTGCGAGATGGCGGCTTACTTTACGCACTGTAATCTGCAACCCGTACATCAGATTCTCACTCTTCAAGTAGCCGTGAATTTGTTCTACAAACTGAAGAATTACAAGACCGCCGCGTCGTTCGCGAGAAGATTACTCGAGCTCGGACCAAATCCAGAACTGGCACAAAAAATTCGGGTCCTATTGCAGGTAATTTCATTTCTACTGCAAATTAATATTTGTATAGATGATTAACGTCTAAGAATTTGATTTGTTCTCTTTCAGTCTTGTGACAAGAATCCTGTCGACGAGCATAAATTAGTGTACGACGAGCACAATCCGTTTTCATTGTGCGCGAGCACGTTTGCACCAATTTACAAAGGAAAACCAGAGGTGAAGTGTCCCTTATGCGGCGCCAGTTATAATCCACAGTTTAAAGATACAGTATGCAAAATATGCGAAGTCGCTTTGATAGGCAAAGAACATTAATATCCCATTTATATTGTTATCAATTTGTGAATTTTCAGTCAGTCGGAGAGAGTGAAAGATTAATACGGTTTTCCTTAATTTTAGGATGTTGAATATACAATTGTAATTTAAATAATTTTAAATTAGAGATGTAAGTAAATAAGCAAAACATATTTCTAGCTTCACCCCAAAAGTAGTTGTACTTTAGCATTCCGTGAAAAGAGTAGAAGTGAATCTTGACATACATGAAATCAAATGTCCATTCATTGAATGCATGTGACAATTTCCTTTGTATATTTCTATTGTTTTTATTTTAATTTACAGCATCTATTTTGCTTTATATAAAAACTGTTAAAAATGAACATTAAATTTAATAAACATGGCGACGACAAATATCTTAAACTAGGATGATTTATATGAAAAATAACGATATATTTATGTAAGTACATTGTTTACAAATAAAATCCTACAAATTCCTATTGAGTAACGGCAATTTGCTTAACATACGATGTCAAAATTAACAAAGTAATATATAACTATACATATAAAATTAATATATCAAGAATACCTTGAAATATATAAAAAGCTTATAATGAAATTTCATCAATAATTTCTAATTCGGCAATGTACGTTTAAAATGTACATAAAATTATGAATTTTATTACTACTGCATATTTAAATATCTTCACGACGCTCTTTTACATTTTTCCTCACATATTTACTTGTAATATTTACAAAGCATATTAGAAGAAAGGCGTGATTTTGCTTGGGCAGATGACAATCAACACCTGAAATTTTCTGGACAATTTATCTCCGCAGTAAATACATTTCCGAGTATGCGATTGGTCGATTTTTCTCTGCCTATGCTAGTGAAAAATATCCGCCCTCGTATTGAACTAATCGAAAGAGACTCGAAAGAACCGTCGACAATTTACTTCATATATCTCTATTATATTGTCTTTATTTTAATTTACAGCATCTATTTTGCTTTATATAAAAACTATTAAAAATGAGCATTAAATTTAATAAACATGGCGACGATAAATAACTAGGATGATTTATATGAAAAATAACGATATATTTGTGTAAGTACATTGTTTACAAATAAAATCCTACAAATTCCTATTGAGTAACGGCAATTTGCTCAACATACGATGTCAAAATTAACATATAAAGTAATACACAACTATACATATAAAATTAATATATCAAGAATACCTTAGAATATATAAAAAGCTTATAATTAAATTTTATTAATAATTTCTAATCCGCCAATGTACGTATAAAATGTACATGACATTCTGAATTTTATTATTACTGCATGTTTAAATATCTTCACACGCTCTTTTACATTTTTCCTCACATATTTACTTGTAATATTTCCAAAGCATATTAGAAGAAAGGCGTGATTTTGCTTGGACAGATTACAATCAACGCCTGTAATTTTCTGGACAATTTATCTCCGCCGTAAACACATTTCCGAGCGCGCGATTGGTCGATTTTTCTCTGCTTACGCTAGTGAAAAATTCCCGCCCTCGTATTGGACTAATCGAAAGAGACTCCGACAGAACCGTCGACCTTTTCCCACCTTTTCGAGGAATCGATCGATCGCTCGAGCGCCGCGCGAGTTTCCCCGCAGAAGAACGCGGCGTAGGTTGGCAATGCGCTTGTTACCGCTCGTCACCGACGCGTTGTGTGCAATGGTGGATGAGGTCCGACGAGTTACCGCTCGTGCGCGCCATCGAGCTACAGAATATTACGGACGTTTCCCCGATAAGTACAACGGAATCCCTCGCCGCCGGTGGCTGGTCGTCGCGTCTCGCCTGTGACGAGCGCCAGGTCGCGGATATTCGTCGCCCCGCCCGGTGTCGCTCGATCGTGCCACAGTGATATCTTGCCGCTCCGTTTTTCGTTCGTTTTGACGCAGGTTTCACCGCGAGAAGGTACGGCGGCTACGGTAGCGGGCGAAGAGGCGGGAGAGAGGATCGCGCGCGCGCGCGCGCGTGCTCGCTCGCCGAGAGAGAAGCCACCCCCTTTCCGCTCCCCCGAGATCTCGACGCCGCCTGCCGCCGATTAATTTCGAGATTATCGAATTCTCGAGCCCGCTCGATCGTCGCGCGCGACATGAGCGGGCCGCGAGCGCGTATCCGCCCGGGTCGCGGCGCGACGTCGAGTCCGCGCTCTAGCGCGCGCGCCTAGTCTGTGGCCGTAAACACCGCGTATACGTAAATACGGACGTACACGCATACACGGTGCGCGTCGCCTCTCTCTCTCTCTCTCTGCGCGTGTGTGTACGTGTTGCGCGCCGCTGGCTGGGACACACACCGTTCTTGTTAGCGGCGAGTCTCGGCGCCCCCGGAGTTCGTTCGCGACCCGCGGCTTTTGTCACGAATACGGAAAAGTGCGGAGGTACCGCGCGCGCGATCGCGAGAACGGGCCGCGTCGCTGCCGATCGCCGGCCGTGGGGGACGGAGCGTCGAGGCGAGTGCCGGAGAGCAGTGCCGCCGCGGTAGGGACCCGCGCCGTTTCGCGGCGCCCGCGGTGAGGTTAGAATCGGGGACGTACGGCCTCGAGAACGGCCCGGCTCGCGGGGGATCGCGCGAGAGCGGGCGGCGTCGGCGGACTATCCGGGTATCGCCGCTGTCGTCGGGCACGGCCGTCGGCGACGGGCGAGCACGGGCCGCGGTTTCTGTGATAAAGGAGGGGGACGCCCGCGTTAAGGTCCGCCAAGCGCCGCGCTCTACGGTAGACTCGTCGGCGGCGACTACGAGGAGGACGAGGACGACGACGGCGGCTGCGGTGGTGCCCGTAGTGTAGTACGATCGCGCGCTATGAAAAAATGATGTGATCGACGGTCATCATGGCGGCACCCATGCTAAAGTGGAAGCGGATCGCGAATCCGACCGGGCCCCAGCCTCGACCCAGGCACGGCCACCGGGCGGTCGCCATCAAGGATCTCATGGTTGTTTTCGGCGGCGGCAACGAGGGCATCGTCGACGAGCTGCACGTGTACAATACAGGTGAGAGGGAGAGTCCCCCGCTCGCGCTTATACGCCGCCGTGCGTCCCTTTCCCTGTGCGCCGCGCCGTACCTGGCGATTCCCGCGAACCAATATGGCGGCATGCGTTGACAAGACGGTGACCGGCCGGATCCGCGGCCGTGCGCGCCGATTACGCGCGCCG